GCCGTCTACTGTTTACTTGGTAGTTATAGTTATGTGTCCAGAAGGAGATGCAGTGGCCAGTTCATTGACGTTGCTTTCTTTTGCAGGTCATTCTGTATCAGGGTGGACAGATGTTTGATGGTGCCCCTCAGTTCCACGGCAGGGTAGGATTTGCAGGCACCATGCCAGCCACCAATGTCTCTATCTTCATTAACAACACTCAGCTATCAGACACTGGCACCTACCAGTGTTTGGTTAACAACCTTCCGGATAGAGGGGGCAGAAACATTGGGGTCACCGGTCTCACAGTCTTAGGTGAGTGATAGCAAATGTCCCAAGCACTTGGACTTTACTTACGAATCTCCTCTCAAGCACGTTTACTTCTGCCTGTCCTACACGCACAGTCTGCTTGTGTCCTTCTCATGTCAGCTCTCCGCCAGCCCACGTACACTCTGCTTCTCCGTGCTTCTTAGTCTCCCCGCCCCCGCCCCCCGCCACACTCCATTTTAGTAGCTCTCTAAAGTTCACTTCCTGGATAAAGATGATATACAATACCATCACAAGTGGCCTCTCACTTTCCTTAGGATTCTGCAGGATAGGATGTATCGTTGAGAGCAAGTTAAATCAAGAATTATTTATGAGTATGAAGCGGAAGTTTCAGCCCATGTAAAAATAGTTAACTACTTCATCATGTCTGTGTAACTCTGAGCAGGCTCACCAATTGTTGGTTTACACTTCTTATCCTGGCATGATTTTAATGATACCTCCTCTTACTCTCAAAAGTATCCTTATTTAAATGGTAAGTTATATAATCAATTTGGTCTTAATACCAAGACCAAATAGATTAGGGCCTTTTCCAAGGTTATATAGACAAGAAGCACAATAAAGTTTAGATTAAAATATAGGTCTCTTGACTCAAATCATTATTATTTCCATTATACTGGCAAGTTAGACTATCTAATACTTAATTATATCCACTCTCAACCATGTTATATTTCTCAGTTCCACTGCCTCTGAAGTAAAACACTGCCTCTGAAATGGATGCTTATGGCAGAAGTGGCTAAGTGCAGTTCATTTGGGGAGACCGAGGAAGTACTTAGAAAAGGCTGATGCTTTTGATGGTCCTTCATCCTACTCGAGTCTCAGAACTTACTCCCATGCTCCTTGGCAAGCTCTCTCCCCATCCCTTTCATTATTGAATCACTTGAGGACACCAGTGTCTGGGGTTCTTGACATTTTTCTTCTTTGGGTGAGGATATGCTATAGCCTTGGTGCCTTGTCCTCCCAGTTTTCAAACAGTTTAAGAAAACTAAGAGCCAGGTTGGAGAATTCTATCCTAGAAGTATCATTCATTCTAATATTTTAAAATTGGAGGCTTTTAGATACTCTTGAGTACTGAATACTATTGGAATTTAATATTATTTTGATGCTTATGCCTGTAAGTTAGATAACTAGCTTCCCACATTCTCCAAGTTTATTTTTTTCATTTTTTAAAGGAAGGAACAAAGCCTTTAATTTATTTTATAGTTAATGCTGCCTTCAAAGAATTATGTTGGTTTCCCCTCATAGCGTCACAGTGGCAATGTTGAAGGCACTAAACTGAGGCGTTTGGTTTATCCTATCATAGCAGGTAGAGTACCCTGAGATTTTTTTACTCTTCTTACCTATAGGTTACTCTCATTGTTCTCTTTTCCTCCACCCACCTTCTTTCCTGGTTCTTCTGTGTACTGCATTTATTTTTCATTCATTCATTCATTCATTTTTGCAAGATGGAACACATTTACTGAAAAGCATTACAAGTACATCATTACTTGGACTTAATCTCTACTGCCTATATTTCCTAATAAGGGACTCCAAGCCATGGGCTTACTTTCTTTATATTTTTTTGCTTGCTTGTTTTTTTTTTTGTGTGTGTGTGTTTTTGTGTGTGTGTGTGTGTGTTTTTGCTATGAATCACCACCTTCTTCCTTTAGTGTTTTTCCCCCCAGTAATTTTTTATTTCATGATCTTTGTGTCCTCATCCGCCTTAATGATTAGAAAATGTGCACTGTATTACTGTCAAGTAGCAGGTAGACTTGAACCTTACCATAACTTCCCCTACCACAAAGCAGCTTAGGTGTAAAGAAGGGCTGCCTGGTTTTTGTTTGTAAAGTGATAAAAGGACCTTGTTGAGGTGATCTTAGCCAGAGTGGAGCTGGCAGGGTAAGTGGTCGCTCTCCCTTTAGATATCTTCTCTACAAGTGGCCTCTTTCAGTAATGAAAAAAATTAGCTGTGGTAAAATACATGTAACATAACATTTGCAGTGCAGTTCAGTAGTGTTAAGTGCATTCCCATTATTGTGCAACCAATCTCCATAACTACTTTCACTTTGCAAAACTAAAACTCTGTACCCATTAAACAACATGCCACTCTCCCCCCAGCTGATGGAGACCACTGTTCTACTTTCTGTTTCTATGAATTTGATTACTCTAGATTTCTCATATAAGTGGAATCATAATTTGTCTTTGTATGACTAGCTTATTTCACTCAGCATAATGTCTTCAAGGTTCATCAATGTTGTAACGTGTCAGAATTTTCTTACTTTTCAGGTCTAAGTAATATTTCATTGTATGTATAACTACATTTCACTTACCCATTCATCTATCTATAGACACTTGGGTTGTTTCCACCTTTTAGTATTGTAAATAATGCTGCTGTGAACATATGTATTCAGCAGTGTTTTTAAAGGCAATATGTTGAACAAAGGATCTCAAGAATTCTTTTTAGGAAGCAGGGTGAAAGCAAGTCCATAAGATACCTTGAAAATGTGGCCAGAGAGTGTAGCCCCTTTCACATACTTGTTCCCTGCTAACTGAAGTTGTAGGCACCTATGCCCAAGCCCTGTGACTAGTACATGACTGTCACAGGCTTCACTCAGCTAGTCTCCTGGTATGTGTCCCAAAAGCAGTGAGGTTCTAGTGTACTGAATGTTGGATCTCACCTCTGTCATCGTTTGGCTTGTAGTGATTGCATACTTTGTTGCTTATTCTTCCTATTATAGTTCCCCCTTCTGCCCCTCACTGCCAAATCCAAGGATCCCAGGATGTGGGCAGCGATGTCATCCTGCTCTGCAGCTCTGAGGAAGGCATTCCTCGACCAACTTACCTTTGGGAGAAGTTAGACAATACCTTCAAACTACCTCCAACAGCCACTCAGGGTATGTAGAGCGTTGCTTTACTCATTTAGTTAGTTATTGTGGAAAATTTCGGTTCTAAGACTCACAAAGTAATAGCTTTCATAGATTTTTAAAAAACACACACAGTATTTGTAACTGCCGAAAAAGCTATCTGGATCATTTTGTGTTTTCAACTATAAAGAGAACAAAACATTTTATTATATCTTCTCATTGCTGGTTTTATGAAATGTAGATTATTCAGTGGTAACTATATATGGAAATTCTGTTCGATCATAGTGAAGATTTTAAAATAGCTCAATGGTAGCTTCTTTGTATTGTTAACTGTAAGATAATCCTTGAAGTTCATCGCTGAGCATCCACTTCCTACTTGAGACGCAACTGCCTACTTTAGTATGAGGAACATCTGCATGGTCATGGAAGGGCTAATCATCCTGTTTGCAGCCTCATGTCTAATTAGAGGAGGAATATGGGAAAGAGAACAGGAAAAGGCCCCGCTGATCACCCAGGAGTTGATCACACCAGACAGGTAAACATAGGGAAGGCATGAACATCACTGATGGTTTTCTACATGTCAATCCATCTATTTATATTTGATATTAAAAGAAACACCCCTGAAAAATTGAGGAAAATGTATGGAATAAAATGAGGAAAATTATAGAATTATACATAAAATCTATTTAAAAAATTAGGAATTAGCAATCTGGAGTGTTGCATCATCTATATTACAGAACATGTTTCCTGCAGCATTTTCAGGGCAGATGTAAAAACCTTAAAGAATTGGCAGTTAATGGAGAGATCTAAAACAACCTTAGTTATGCCTGAGTAGTATGAACGATGGAAAAGGAAAGTCCTAAGTTGTATGTGAAGTTAGACGTATTAAAGAACCAGGACCACCAACTTCTTAAAGAGCTTGTAAGTTTTCTTTGAGAATCACAACAGAAATATCATGGGCCTCCCATCACCTTTAAGTTAACTTAGTCCAAATTTCATTATTTTAAAACATTTCTTTAACATAATATTTTTGTTACTCTAATAATGATTACTGCAATATTGTTGTTCTCTACTGATTTTTTTATTGGTTAAATTTTTAGCCACACTGTGGGTTAAATAGCTTTATTTCTGTACTAACTTGTTGATCTCACCATTTTAAGTGGTATGTTTGAAATAGAACTTGTCTTCAAATCCTGAAATCATATTTAAATTGTAGGTTTTTTCAGTGACAGTTTTCTGTGGTAGTTTACCTCTTTTGGCCTGTGTTGTCTTTTGTAAAATAAGGGGGTTAAACAGTATCTTGAAGATGATCTTGTCCATCTTAAGATTTTATGATTTATTTTGTAACATTTCTTTGAAATACTGGATTGAGTTTGGAATACAAATGAACATGTAAAAGTGGTTGTTTGTATATAAGTTGTGAAATATCTGTAGAAAGAACTTTCCATACCTTTGTATCAGTCAAATTTTTTAAAAAATTGATTTCAGAGAGGAAGGGTTAGGGAGAGAGAGATAGAAACATCAATGATGAGACAGAATCATTGATAGGCTGCCTCCTGCACACCCCCTACTGGAGATTGAGCCTGCAACCCAGGCATGTTCCCTTGACTGGAATTGAACCTGGGACCTTTCAGTCTACAGGCTGATGCTCTGTCCACTGAGCCAGACCAGCTACGGCACATTTTTTGATATTTTCTTTACAACTTGAATATTCTTTGATTCTTTGAGTATAAAAGAGAATTGGGATGCAAAGATGAAAATGTTTGTCTTTTATAATTCAAACTCTGGATCAGTTATCAGAATTACTTTAGATAATTTCATGTTTCATAATAATGCACATTACATGAGTCTAAGTTTTATTTTAAGTCTACCTCTTTATAGCTACATAAATAAAGTAGATCTCAAAATAAACATTTAATCTCAACATCAGTTTTTTCAGATTTACTTTACTAATATGTTTGCAGTTGCTTAATATAAACTCAGGATGCATCTCTGAGAAAAGATTGTTTGACATCAGGGGAGAGCACCCCAGATGTCTGATTAGTGACAGGCGCATAATATGTGGGGATTAGTACTGACCTTGTGTATAGGGGCCAGCTTGAAGGCATTTCTTCCAGCCAGATCTGAGACAATTTGAACATTAAAATAAATACATAATCCATTGAATAAAATGAGATATACCTGGATCTCTGCTGATATACATAAATAAATGGGGGAGAAGGGAAAGCATTTTCTAATAGTAGAATACCTAATAATGTATATAGAAGGAATGGTGGGGTTAGGAAAACCATCACTGATATCAAAATAGTGGACAAAAGTTTGATAAGGAGCAGGATATTTACATAGTTCCAAAATATGTCTCCACAAATTACTTATTAGTTGCACAGAAAAAATAATACAGTTGACCCTTGTACAACAAGGGTTTGAATTATAGGGATCCACTTACATGCAGATTATTTTAAACAAATACTGTAAATGTATATTCTCTTCCTTATGATTTTCTTAATAGCATTTTCTTTTCTCTAGCTTTCTTTATTGTAACAATACCATGCATAATACATATAACATACAAAATATGTGTTGACTGTTTAGGTTATCTGTAAAGCTTCTGGTCAACAGTAGGCTACTGGTAGTTAAGTCTTTGGGGAGTCAAAAATTATATGCACATTTTCTACTGCTTGGGCCGGGGGCGGGCGGTATCAGTTCACCAAACCCCTGTGTTGTTCAAGGGTCAAAGGTAACTTTATAGTAGAGAGACCTGGTAGATACCACTTTAACCAGGTGATCAAAGTGAACATTATTAATATTTTTAGTAGCTCTTATCCTGTGCCTCCTAATATATACACTGAGAAGGACATAACATCATTGCTGTGGTATTCCTGTCAAAAACACAACTTGAACCCAATCAGGAGGAAACATCTAGCAAACCAAAGGGAAGACACACTGTTGCAGGCGGGAAGAGACTAAGGAGATAAAACAATTAAATGCAGTGCGGAATTCTGAATTAGAATCTGGACAGAGGAAGAAATAGCCAAAACGGACATTATTGGGACAATTGATGAAATCTGAGTATAAACTGCGGGTTAGATAATACTGTTGTACCAATGTTAAATTTCTTGACTTGGATGCTTGTCCTGTGATTGTGTGAAGAATGTTCTTAGGAAATACTAAGTACTTAGTTGTAAAGAGGCCCAATGCCTTCAACTCACTCTTTAAAACACACACACACACACAAAATATTTTTCTTGATTTCAGAGATGAGGAAGGAGAGTCATGGATCAGCTGCCTTCTGTACTCCCCTCACTGGGGACCTAGCCTGCAGCCTAACTCAGCATGTGCCTTGACTAGAAATTGAACCTTGACCTCCTGATTCATAGGTCAATGCTTAACCACTGAGTCACCATGGCCGGGCTTCAACTCACTCTTAAATGGCTCATAAAAATATTTATATGCTTAGTGAGAAAATTATAAACCTAATAGGGCAAAATATGAACAGTTGTTGAATCTGAGTAGATGATACACAATATATAGAGTTCCTTGTGACAGTCTTGCAACTTTCTGAAAGTTTAAAATTATGTCAAAATAAAAGTTACCCAAAAGTTGTCCTCATATAGTTCATATGTGGGTAGTCAAGAGATGAGTAGATTTAGAACCAGTATCCTAGGAGGTACACTTCATTTTCATATGGAGAAATAATTGTGGATTCAGTATTATCCTCTTGGTACATACTTTCGAATTCTAAGGTGAGTGAAAACTGTATGTAAGGTTGATATTATTTCAAGCAAAATGTAGCCCTTTGGACTGTGCTTCTAAGGCTTGTACAACTGGCCCAGGTTCCACTAAGTGGGAAGAGGCCGGGACTGCTGCTAATAAGCGCCCTATGATGCATGGGACAGCATCCACAATGAGGAATTATCCAGACCAAAATGTCAGTAAGTGAATTACATGAATAGATTTTCAAACATTGCACCATCCTTACATTTCTGAAATAAAGTCTGTTTGTGATTATTTTTAAACAAACTGCTCCATTCAGAATCCTAATATTTTAATGGAATTTTTGCATCTGTGATCATAAGTGAGGAGAATGGCCTATGAGTTTTCTGCCTCCTATTGTCCTTGGTTCAATTTTAGTATCACATTATACAGTGGCCTCAAAATGAGTTGGGCGGCTTTTCTTCATTTTCTATTTTCTGCAACAGTATGAATAAGATATTTTTTAGAATTTGCCTAAGCTTTGCCTTGCTGTTATGTTTTGTTGGTGGATTTCTGACTATTGATTCAGTTTCTCTAATGGTATAAATTTATTTTTATTTTTCTGTACCTGTTTTTCTAGTAAATTTTTTTGTCAAGTTTATATACATATCAGCATCAAATTGTTTCTGTATACAAAGCAGAGAGTGTATCTTAGAGGGTAGGTTCTGGAGTTAGAGGATGTGGTTGGAATCTTGACTTCAAAAACTACTGGCTATGTTTTCCCCGTTGTGGATTTCTTTGGTTAATTCTTGCTGGCATGTTTCAGGTGTCCTTGCTTTATGTTTTAGGTGTATCTCCTGTATATAGCATGTGTCTAGATTTAGTTTGGTTTTCAGTTTGCAATCTGAGAGCCTTTGTCCATTGTTTGATTACATCCATTTATATTAATTGTGATTATGGATAAATTTAGATAGATTGCTAATATTTTGTTTTATATATTTTATCCTCCCCTATACCTTCTACTGATTATTTCAGTGTTGTTTTTTTTTTTTTTTTTGTTTATAAATTATGCCTTTTTCCTTCATGGCTCCTAAGGAATCCTGTGTTGTCCTCATCCTTTTACGTATAATTGAATAGCACAGTGGAGAGAGATGATGAGCTCTCCTCCTTGCTGAGAACTCTGCAGAACTTTGTGTGGAGATCACAGATGGAGCATGAGGGTATCTTAAGCATCACCATAGTCCAGCACTCGCATGTTACAGGGAGAAGCCTGAGGTCTGGGGAGGACAC